CTGTGGCTTAGACAGAAAGTGTCCACACCAACACTGGTTTCTGCAGACCCATTGAGTGAAACTAAAGGGAGGACAGCGAGAGACGGGACGGACACAGAGACAGAAGCAGACGTGAGGGGGTGAAGGAGGAGGAATAAAGTTCAGCGATGAAATCTGAACAGAAACTTGAAAGTGAAAACAACACCGGAGGTCACCATGTTTGAAACCTGTGACATAAACAAAAGCGCCCAATGCTGTTTTACTGAATAAAGAATCATAAGACTATATTAAAATGATCCTTCAGAGGTAGATTTTAAAAACCGATCCAGTCTTTAAGATTTTCCAGCTGATGCCCTGCTCTCATCGTGTGACATCTATGAACCGGAACATTCACTTTTATTTGACCCTTCATCTTAAGCAAGCGACTGATCCAGATTAACGTACAACCTCTCGTTAAAGCTAGTGTGAGACAACATCTCTCATAACAGAAATACGTCTGCAGTTCCTCTCGTGTCTCACAAGGCAGCGAGCTTCATCAGCTCCAACTTTTCCTCAGCAGTTTAACCCGTGTTGTCGTGTTTTGAGAAGAATCGTTTTGCACATGTTCAACTTTGCAGCACACATAGCTGCAGCTGGTGTAATTTAATGTGACAGGAGGAATGGTGAAAACATATTTGCTCTTGACCTCCTCACACCAGCCTTAAACGCTCACTTCCCTTCAGCTAGCCTTTTCCTCCAACTCCATCCCTATCTGTTGCCCCAAATCCGTCCTCTTCTCCCTCTGAAACCCTAAACCTCATCCCAAGTTGGTTTTCCTGATGTCCCTCTGCTGGATTCCAGCTCTTCATTTATTCTCTATCTTTATTGCTGTGTTTGCCCTTCTCGTTACCCCCTTTGGTGCCAAGTCACCAGTTATGCTCGCTCTGCTTTTTTTGTGTGTGTTGACAAATGCTGGAGTCAGGCCTGGTATGATGCAACTGTGCCACAAACAGGAAGGAGGCACTGGGAGAGGAGAGGAGAGGAGGGCATACAGGACACCAGCTAACACCGGGCCACACACACGCACAATGTTGAACACTCAAAGACAGGAGGCAGAAGGTACAAACACCTGTGAGCACACACACACACACACGGCATTGGACAGATAAGTCTATTGCGGACACAGAGGGGAAGGGATGGAGGGGGAGGATGTCCTGATGTTCTAGTTACCCAACAACAGAAAGACACATTAAGACTCCCAGGAAGAGGGAGGCGATGTCAGAAAGAAAGAGAGTGAGAGACAGATGGACAGAAAATAATATGTCACAGCGAAAGAATAACTAAGACGGAGGGAGACGAGAAAGGCAGGGAGAAACAGAGAAGAGGAACAACAGAGGAAAAAAGCTGGAAACCGAGAGACAGCTGGCACTCTGGGGCACGGTGGATGGATAGCTCCTTGTTAGCATAGGCCTGACAGCCTGATGAGAGGGGCTGCTGTCAGCCGGCACTGGGGCTGGGCTGTGAGAGCCTGGGTGAGCGGCAGGGCAGAGGCTGGGTTTCAGAGCTGGGGGGCCTCGGTAGATGAAAGATAAGGGGGCTGGTGGGGGCTGATGGAGATGGGGTCCTCCCAACTGACTAGTTAAAGAAGGGCCGAAGCACCACTATTATACGGGCCTATGACAGGGCTGCACACACGGCTGGCTCCCGCCCCTGCACCACAACCAACCGGCTCTTTAAAATCTGTGATACCGTTCACCTCTGGTCACAAAACAGCAATAAGTCAGCCAGCGCGCTTGTAAGATCATGATTTATTCGTTTGCTTTTGGCTGCTTGCGAGACGTGGCACTCACGTACCGACAAACTGACACGCTGGGTTCAGCGGGGCTTTAACACAGGCAGCACCTCCAGAAGTCTGAGGAAATATATACGTGCATGTGTGTGTTTTTCACTCTCTTTCCCTTGTTTCTGCCTGGCTGAGATGCAAGAAAAAGCGGAGGTGGTGAAAAGCAGCTGGATGGAACTAACGACGCTCCCAACAATACCTCGGGTCTCCATCTGTGGGAATCAGAAACATTACCTGTACATCCGGTGACTGATAACTCTCATTTCAACGCAACACCGCGACGAACTCTGACAGCAATTACACATTTCTCATCCTGTAAGGTGTTTGATCACATGAGAATGGCGTGGATAATGAGAGCAGATATTTTCAGTTAGGCGTGTATACACTTAGCTGGGTACAAGAATCATGGCAGCCATTTTCGCTTGAACTACAAGGTCAAGCTACCCCAACAGCAAAAAATAACACATCACAGGAGCCGTAATAACATTAGGCCTGCTTGTAATCCCACTGGGGATGTGAGAATATCTTTGTACTATATTGCCTGACATGTATCGCTACCAAACCAAACACTTCTCCCCGAGGAAGACGGATGGATAGACGAGTGGATGAAGAATTGCAGAGGATGAAAGGCTTGCCGAGGTAAAGGTCTGATGTGGAGGCTCTTAAAATATTCTGTCGGCGTACATTCGTGCTAAAAACAAGCCATGATTCGTCTTTAAGCTGAGGAAAACTATAAATCATAGACAAAAATCCCCCCCCCCCCCACTGATCTCGCTTCTTGTGAAAAAGAAAAACACTCTCACCCTCGAGTTTGATAATTTACATCATGCACTGCTTGTGTCGCAGCTCAGTGTGCTGCCTAAACCCTCAGCAGAGGTCTAAAGGAGCTGGGGGAGACAGGTGAAATTCTCAGAGGGACAGGTAATCTTTACAGCTCCTCCTGATTATAGCTCCAACCAGAGACCTTGGGAACTCTTCCCTGCAGCGCCCAACACCACCAAAGACCCCCAGCTGTTAAGGCTTCTGCAGACTTACAGATGTGTTGGCAGGGGCAGCTACGCTACAGATAACACTCGGATGACATCACTTCCCTCTCCCATCTAATCTGTCATTTATGTTCGGCTCAGCTTCATCAGCTGCAAAGATAACGAGGCGGAGAAAAACACACAATGTTCCTCCCCCAGACGCACATGCACACAGACAGAAATTACTTTTAAAATTACGAGCTAGAGTTAAAAAGTCTAATAACAGATAATTTAAAGGCAGTTTGCACATAAATACGGTGCTGCTATATAGAACTAATAGAGCTATAACTCAGCTGCAGAGTGGATTTCCCAGCTTGTCAGTGTGTGTGTGAGTGTGTGTGTGTGTGTTTGTGTACGGTTTCAGATAAATATTCTTATGGTAATATTTAGGGTTTGAAATCCTGCTGGAATATTGATGAGGGGGATCATGTTCAATCTATTAAGAAGTCCGATGTTTGAGTTACAATCTTTGTAATTTGTGTCTGAATCTGAAATAAACCCACTTTGCATGATAGAATTAGAAAAGTTCTCTTCCACTTACTTCACCAGGGATTTAACTTTAGCAATATCTACTAGAAGCTCATTTTAGGGTTTTTATTTAAATGTTTACAGAGGCCACCGTTTCCTTTGTTGCACTTTTGATTCTGTCCACATTTCATGCATGGAAAGAGTCAACGACGGAAGATTATTTTTCATCAGCAGGTGATTCATAAATAGGTTTTCTTTTATTATGGAAAATTCTAAAGAGACTAAAGTCCAAACCAATAAAAATATTGTATCTAAAAATATAGTTTGTACACATCAAAGCATGTAAACATGCTTAGTTCCACAGTCTTCAAGGCCAGACAGCAGGGTCGAGTATAACAACACCACAAGTTTATGACATGATCTCAAACAATGTACAACACTCACAGAGCTACAACACTAAATTTTAACACTTCACCGTCGTCTAAATTCAGCAGATGCCTCCTTCCAAGTCTGCACTTTAGGTCTGATTACATTACAGCAAAGCGACAAGGCTGTCAAATATTGAAGGATGCTCAAAATGTGTCCTCAAATTTCAGGGACAAGTCTGGAGTGTCCATATTGGCTAAGGCTATTCCAGGATTCATCGCAGACCCAACAGGACATTTTTGCCCTTGTAATAATGGCGGACGAAGCAGGAGAAGATAAAAAGTTAAATCTGTCGATATAAAATGAGAAGCTTAAAGCGGTTGTGTTGTTTGGCTTTAATCGTTTTTGTTTGTAATGCTTTCTGTCAGAAACAAGAATAACTCATAAACCAGCTTGTGTTGGATTTCTCACATTTCTCCATGTATTGCAGCTAAGTGTAGTTTTAACTTCTGTTTAGCGTCACAGTTGCTAAGCGACGGGATCTACCCCGAGGTATGAAATCTATAGAACGTCCAAATTCAAAGCCAATTCCAGTTAGTAATGGGAAACGGACCCAACCAAAGTGGACCGGGTAGGACGGGTCCTTACAAAGATGCTACCTCCACATCTGGACACAGCTGTGATCTAGAATGAGATACAGCCATCACAGCGTTTGTAAGGAAGAATAGTGGCCATCTTGAATGACGATGACTCCAATTGTAACTTTCTGAGTGTTTCCTTAAATCAAAGTACTCACAAAAGACACGGCAAAATCCTTCTTACTTATAACCCACAACATGAAATTCCCCCTCGTATTTTAGATGTTTTCCAACTCATTTGGAGCTTTGGTATTAAAGCTCTGGTGTGACAACATTTGTATGGAGATGAGCAAACGCCGTGGCGAGAATCGACTCACAGTGCTAAGCTTCCTTGAGGTAATAATGATGCGCCGCTCGTGCAGCATGCTGGCGTAAAGTTGAAGCATGTTGTTGATGTCCACCGCCACAAAGTACTCAGTCAGGTTCCTCTGCAAAAAAAAAACATGAACATTCATCAGGATCTCCTAAAAGTTGCACCACAGTAAAATATCAAAGCTATGCACCGATTATGCACAGAGAAAAAAGATGTATATTAAAAACAAATGGTCAGAAAACGACTTTCTTCTGTTTTGATGTGTTTGATAGAAAACGTCATGCTTGAAAACCAGATCAGATTTCACTCAGTGAGAGTGATAACTGTTGTCACCCAGCGTCCCTTCCCATAAAGATTTAAGCTTAAATTTGAATTAAAAAAATCAACAAAGAACTTGAGCTCAGTTTGAATCTTCAGTGCCAATCACCGAACTTCAACATTAAAGCACAAAACACTGCAGGAGCTAAAACGGAGACAAGAGTGTGATGCAATAATTTCAAACGGTGACATGTGTATTAGATTAAAAACGATTAGAGGCAGAGATGTTTCCATAAGGGAGCGATTTTTCTTTATCTCCCTTCGTCTCTCTGTTTCTTTTCTGTGAGCACTTACACTCTCAGGGATAGTTGGCAGTCCATTGATATCCGGGGCGATGAAGTAGGAGTGCTGCAAAGAAATAGAAAAAAATAAAAACACACACACACACAAACATGCAGGAAAAAGAAGAGGGAAGGTCACAAGTGAAGCATACCACTTATTCAGAAGAGAATGAGGGGAAGAGGGGAGAAAAAGGCCGTTCACTTTGTTCTATGATTTATGACTTATCTTCTGCTCTGTCTATATGAATTGCTGAGCTGGTGTCTGAACTGTGGCGATGCTTTTATCAGGCCTGCAGAACAGAGAAAGCTCAATAGCAACTCTGCTCCCAACAGACACACACACTGTGTTGATGTCTCCGGTGGAAAACTGTCTTTATTTAAGCATTAAAGGGGTTTGCGGGCGCACCAACACACACGTGCACAGAAAAGTAGATGTGCACATGCACATACACTCAGGTTGTTTAGAGGATCACAGGGCTGCCTGTCTCACTTTGGGAGAGCAGGGCAGGTTCAGTGTTCAGATCAAGGGGGCCTGAGAGAGGTGCTGTTTAGAGGTAGACATACCACCACCAGAAACACACACACACACACACACACACACACACACACACACACACACACACACACACACACACACACACACACACACACACACACACACACACACGTATCCTCAGTACACCTGCATTTCTCTGGGCCATCGCTCAACCATCTGTTGCCATTTGGCTCTAAAATCCACCGCGGTTAAACACCACATTCATGTTTAAAAGTAAAATCTTACTTCTGTCTTGTGACTAGAATTCAAAAGATGTAGTAAAATAGTTTGCATTTATTGCATCTCATAACGCAAAACAAATAAACATCAGTTGTTTCCTCCGATAGTTGAGAACTTCGTCTGGAGGAAGAACAACACCGAGCTCAACATTCAGACTGAATATCAAACCCACGGACTGAAACGAGTGCTGAAAGGATGAAATATTAAACATCAGAAGTTCATGAAGAAAAGCCTAACACAAATATGTAACATGAATAATAATTGAGACTATGCAATAATTAAAAACAAAAAAACCTTCAACCTAGAAAGTCTCTGATTAAAGAGAATCCAAGAAAAGAAATCAAAAAGAAAAGAATAACAGCTGCAGACGAGCTGCAAAAACAATCATGGAAATTATCATTTTATTAGAATTATTTTATCTGGGGTTTATTTTTTTAAGATAATCATCTTTAAAAAATCCCATTCTCACAGCCGATTAAGCTTTGTCTCATTTTCAATAACCAAATCAGGACCTATAACTTTACCACAATTAAAAATTCACTCAGCAGCCAGACATTACAATCAGCTGCCAGAAATCGGATTAGCAAGGGCTAAAAATAAAGACTAATATTTAACTATCCACAAATAAGCTAAATATTTTCCTCCCTCAGTGCATGTGCAGTAAGAAACACAAAGGTTAGAACAATTATTATGAGTAAACACTCGTGTAATTCCCAGAGGACGGTCATTGTTGTAGCTGAGCAAAGCTTAATCGAGATGAAGAGGCACCACAAACAAACTGGAACCAACATCCAGGGTGTGTTTCCCCCTCAAGACAAAAGATAAATGTGCACGCATGTTTTCTACACCTACATGCCCTTTTATATGACAAGTAGATTTATTTAAAGGTGTAAGATATAAGGGTCGGACTTTTATTCAGATGTTGCACAGCTACCTTTACCATTGTGTTCTTGTGTGGTGGTTTAGAGCCAGACCTGCTGTTTGTTTTATGTTGCAGCAGCTGGATTATTTATTTTAAAGAATGAATGAAAGGTAAGTGTTCTGTCAGAAGTGATCAGGTGCTTTAATGCTGGTTTCCATTAAAAATTTGCTTTAATATGACTGAATAATTTATTAAAGGTGTGGTTCACTTGTTTAATCGATACGATTGCAGAGGTCTCTAGTAGGAATAAATGCCTTGTAAGTTGTATCTGAGGACAAAAATCCCTGGTGCACCTGTTTCAGGATCCAGCAGATTTCCAGATCAGAGGAGCTTCAGACAGCAGAATTTGGAGTCTTATTTCCTGATATATGGACATCTCACCTCTGATTGGATAACAGCAACACAATTCTACCACTGACTCTGTTTGCTCTGCAACGTTGATGTTTTATCTCCACAAATAACACAAGCCTGAAGGAGTTTTGCTGAGTGGTGGAGTTGCTAATGCTAACAGTTAGCTTCTACTTGCCAAGACGTTCCCTGTTGTTTTCTGGACGCTAAACCAACAACTGTCATGAATCAAGATGGGTGAGTCCATGAACGTTAAGTGACAGTGTGATGTCACACTGTCAGGCCTTCCCAATCCTAGAGTTTCCCTGTTTATTTTCTGTCAGAAGCTAATGCAGGAGATAGATGTAGGAGACTATTTTCATGTTCAGCTTGCATGAAAATATCAGAGTGACAAATTATAATCAAAAATAATTTTAAAATTGGTTTTCAGTTGGTTGACCAGCTGAGTGGCATAGTGGAAGAGTGTCTGCCCTGAGGCTGGGAGATCAGGGTTCAATTCCTGATCGGGTCATAACCAGAGACTTTGAAAAATAAATAAATAAAAAATGGGACCCAATGCCTCGCTGCGTGACACTCAGCATTAAGGGGTGTGTGTGTCTTTCAATAAAGTTCTTATATTTTATTTTGCCCCATTTCATCAACATCAAGAGCTTTTGGGGGTCACCGTTTACCATTTGCTTATATTTTACATTTCCTTTAGAAATTCAAACACATTTTCTCCAAAAAGTGTTGATTTTTGGACTACAGGACTACAACCGCTAAGACTACGACCACAAATTTGTTCTGACCAATCAAAATCATAACGTGATAACGTCACTTCCGTAAGCTTCATGTTCAGCCAATCAACTACTTTGACGTCATCGGCAGTCGAAGGACGCCGAGCCGATCCTGCACCCGAGCAGATCCTGTACCGACACCGGCAGAAGCGTCTCAGGGAAGATATCCGAGGGGAGGGGTGAGTGTTGTAAAACCAGACCAGGCCCAAAATAATCCTATTTTACGATTTGACAGAACTAGGAATAACAATAATGGGAATAAAACGAGCAGATGTAAATAAATCCGGGCCGGGTCACACCTCTGAGACTGAGGACAACCACATAAATCACCACCAGAACAGCTGATTCCCTTTTTTGTTGCTCTTGTACTTTGTTAGTTAAATAACGCTCCTCTCTTGGTCCACTACTAATTCATGGCACTGTGATAATCAAAAAGCTGCACTCCTCAACACAACCATGACGTTCACTGGCTGTTTGCTTGCTCATCTCCCTTTTTTCTTCCTCTTTCCAAGACTTGTTTATACAAAAAAATAACACTGAAAGTGGGTTAACTGGAAAGGCATCAAGCAGATTCTTTAACACAATTGCCTTTGCTTTAAACATAAAGAGAAGAAGAAAAAAAACTTTTGATATTCAGAGAGATTGAATATCGCAGAGTGGAAGGGCATTAATCATTTACAAAGTTTGATTGTTTTCCAGATGAGAAGAAACACACACCAAGGCCCAGGATAGTTTGTTTTTGTTATATTTAAAAAGAAAGCGCGGCTTATTTGGCCAAATTGGAAATCAGTGGCTCCCATGCGATTAGTACAGAAGCAGCTTCATATTTCACAGCAGCCTCTATCCCTCCACCCTTTCTCTGCCGCTCACTCATTCCTCTCCACTCACCGGCTCCTCGCTTCGCCGATCTCTCAGCACTTGCCCAGTGGCAATACACAACTGCTCATTCTTGCACAATAAGACAAGGAGAGAGAGAGAGAGAGAGCAAAACAGGGTTCACACATGAAAGGGGACAATGATTCTGCTCCTCCACTGGCATGATAAAACAACAACAACAGAAAAGAAAAGAAACCCTCTTTAAGGGAATAAATCTGCTTCATCAATTAAATATCAGACCAGTGGCTTTTCTAGAAAAGAGATGAAGCGATCACCTCTGGTCTCCAGGGCTGCTGCTTTCCCAACAAAGCTCTGAGATTCAAATAAAGAAGCTTTATTCACATACGCAGCTGGTACAAAAACACACAAAGAGGAATAAATCAGAGCCCGTGCTAACTGACCCTGTTAACCTACACACAGATATGTTAAATTAGCCTCATATCTTCTGTGTTAACTTGTTTAGTTGTAAATTCATCTGTGTAATTAGATGCAGATCCTTCAGAGACCGTTGCTGCACTGATGATCTACAGTTGCTCATCTAATTGGATAAAAAAGCAGCGTAGTCCTCCAGGACAAAGACTAACACTCAAACTCTTTGATCCCACCACGGTGTGGAGTCAGGATTACCCACTGAAAGCCTTTACGTCCTACCTAAACAAGCCGGGTTTACGGAAGCGACGGCGTTTTATGTTGGGAACATTCCATCGGAGGATGTGTCAAACAGAAGCTGACTTTGAGGGACCTGGGCTCGTTAGGCCGTTTCGGGTTTTGATAAGCAGGAGACATGATGAGTTGCGAAAGGACCCTTCAAGATTAAACATGTGCAGCTTGAGCTTATCACACGAAGACCTGTAAGCGCCACTTCTTGTTTCCAAACACAGTGTCAGTCCTGGGCCCGAGTCTCTCTGTTCCTGCCCGACGTGTCTTAACCTCCTCCTGCTCTCTGCTCCGCGCCTCCTCTGTTTCTCCCTCATTTATTCTCTCACATCTCAACCTCTGCACTTAGTCGATTTCCCTGTTTCTGCTCTTTTTCTTTAAAACAATCTCAGGCCATCTTTGTCTTCTTTCTTCTTCCACCTGTCAATTTCACTTTAGCTCTCATTACACTTCTCTCCTGGTCTCCTCGTTCTCCCTCATTCATTACATCTTCAGCGTCTCTCGCTGCATGTTTAGCTACTTCGGCCGATTGGCGTCACCTCCTCTGATGCAACACCCTGCTGCAGTGCCTCTCCCTCTTTCTGTCTCAATCTGAGCTGTCGTGGATTGTGATCCAGCAGAATACGTATACCTACCACACTCAGGTTGACTGGCGTGAAGGGCTTTGGCACAGGCAGCTCATACAGAGAATTCAGCATGTCATTCAAGTCATTTTCCTAAGAGAGAGGGGAAAAAAACAAAAGAGGGGAAAAATGAAAGAAAGAATCAAAAACATGACAACCACGAATTATGTTTACTTGTTTTGTTGATGCCACAAAGTGTGTGTCAATCCTAAAAACTGAGCCGGGACAGGCGCTGCCGCAGACCAGGGAGCGATCCTGCAGCGAGGCCTGAAGGGCTCCACAACATCCGACTGACATATGTTTAACGAGAAATGGTGAGGTTAAAAGACGGCTGAGTGTATGGCTGCAGACGCTTATTATCCGGCAGCGCTGATTTACAGCCGAGAGCGGGCTGTCACTAATTAACCGGGGGTCCCCGCTCCAAAAACAAGGGGCTTTAGAAAGCCATTAGAGATCCAATTCAGCCACAAAACCGACCCTGATATTATTCTTCCAGCATTTTTGAGTTCTTCCACATGACTGCCGCTTACGGTCGTGTCAGTTTGAAGCTCGGACTCTTCGTGTGAAAGTAGTTAGCTGCAGAGGCTGAACTTTATTTGTTTTGCCTTTTGTCTTTGACTCCTTCTCCAAGAACTTTGTTTTGGTCTTGTGAGAAAATAATGTGTGTGTGCAAACCACAACGTAGGAGAAGCGATGGGTGGCAATATAGCTTAAGCAGAGCAGAGGGAGGGAGGGGTGGGTGTTAGGGAGTGTGCAATCGAACAGCCTCCTGTCATGAGAAGCTCAATGCTCACACGCATGGTCAGCAACACGGCCTGGGGAAACAGTTCATTTACCCCTCGCCTTAAACCCTCATCGCTCTTCTGTCTTCCCTCGTCTGTCAACATCTCCCTCTCGCCTGGAACGGACAGCGGGGTAAATAGAAACCAAATCATGCACACTAACATTTCAGTGGCCCAGGATTTTCAGCTGCCCCTCTGCCACTCTCTTCCTCACTCACAAACTGTCGTTGTCCGTTAGGTTTTTTCTCCTCTAACCGCCAAATTGTTCCTGCAAATTTTCTTTCAGCTGAAGAATTTTGAGCACGCGAGTTGATTGTTTATGTGATGTGACTGTCTTTTTCAGCGAGACACTTTGTCCTGATCACGTTTCCCCGAGGATGCTGGGAGAAGCAGCGACTACATGACAATTGAAAAGTGGTCCCCAAAGCTCTCTGCACGTCTCCCTCGCTCTGCCTCCCCCCCACACCCCCCTCCAGTCTAAACAGTGGAACATCACCTACACCCTATGCACCAGACTCCACACATCTCCCCAGTTTGTTGCATATTTTACATTTCCCCTCCCTTTGCTGGTACAGTGCAGACTGAATAGTCAGGGGAGACGACTTTTGTGAAGTACAAGCGTTTGTGTGTGTGTGTGTGTGTGTGTGTTTTTCTTAACGACTTGTTTTCCAGTAAATCATCAGGAATAACTTCCCATGTCAGATCAGCGTTTGGTCTGTGAAATGTCAACATTGTTGCTGCTAACAACAGGAACCAATTCGAGCCCAAGACACTGAACAAAAACCCGCACACAAAAGGAAACGTGCAGCATGCAGAGGAACACACTGGAGGAAGGTTTCCCACCACAACACAGATTTAACAACAATACACTCTTCGCTTGTTCCCGAGTCTAACCATACCAGCGTTCGGACTCATTTCTAATATTGTAAACACGCTGAAGCTCACACACATACGGTTATTATCTGCAGTTGGGTTGATATGTGATTACCTGTTGTTTTGTTAGGTAGTCAGCCAGTGTATTTAGCAGCTTGTAGTAGATTTCAAACCAGGGCATGTAACTGGAAGAATCAGAGAGATGCATCAGTGCACTATATAAGAAGAAGCTTGCATTTGTTTCATCATCAGCACTCAAAAAAGCAGCAGCAAACAACATGCAATGAATCAAAGCAGACGGGGAGTTATGAATTTAAAATACAAGCGTTGTGGGATTCGATCTCCAGAAAAACCTGAATGTGTTGCATCTTTGCCCAAAAGCGTCTATTAATAATTTGACCAATTGTTGAAAGATCAAATAAACAAACAGAGCATTGATAATGGATTCTGTTCCATGTTCCACCTACACCAAAGCACCCAGTCACAGCAGCAGAGAAGAGCAAACACTTTCTCTTTTTGATTAAGATGCTCTCTCATATCCACGGCTGTTGCATGAATTCCTGTCATGTTTGACTTCAAAGCAAAAAAATAAAATAAAATAAAGAATTTTAGATCCTTTATCTAAATAAATATACACAATGGTGTTTATTGGATGCTATGGTTTCGGAGTATGCTGCTCCCAGATGCAGAAATCCAGATTCAGCATTTCCTCCCCCTACTGCAGCTTCACAGATTAAAAAAGGGAGCTCTGTGTAACTCATGTTAAATAAATAAATTCATTAACATGTTCAAAATAATTCCTACTGCAGTGTTTGTGTTAAATCCAATCAGTAAGTACACTGACATAAGTTAAAGCAGCTGTGCAGCATGGCTTCCTTTAGCAAGTTGACATATTCTTGGCAAAGTGGACTCGTTTTCTAGGTGGAAGAAGGCCAACTTTCTCCTTTTTTAAGAAGAAAAGCCGCGAGGGCTAGCTTGATTTAATATTATGCAATCAAATAATTAAAAAGAACATAGTATCCTGTCACATTATTGACTTTTTTTAGTTTGGGTTTTTACCATGCATGCTGCAACGCCGCATGTGCAATGACTTTGATTAGGAACATTTTAGCATTACCATGAAATAAACAGGGATTCTCATTAATGCTTCATTGCCTTGTGTTGGTGCAGAGGTGGAAAAGTAAATCAGTGGCCAAATGAGCCGGTTAATCAAACAGTTTTTTTATTTAACTACTAACAAAACTGTGGCGTGTGTAAGGTGACGAGTGTAAATGACAGATTTGTGGCTTTTATATTAAACAGTTTTTAATTTTAGAGTCACGTTTGGGGTGTCAGAGTCTGCAGTCCGGCTCAAGCAGTCGAATGTAGAAGTTTCCGTAACATGGGTCACTGGCTGCTCTGCAGACTGGAATTAACAAACAAGGAACAATAAAGTGAACCTAATGCAAATATTCATATGAGCAAATCCGCGAGGGGCCAATGACAGGCCGGGTTCACAGAGAAGTGCAGCCAAGCGCACCAATCAGAGGAGCCGAGTGACCAATAGTCTGAAACAATCAGCCTCTTAACGTGCTGTTATTTTGACATCTGCATGAAGATTTACTGCAATCAGGTCACACTCGCAGGAGAGACCAAATCAAACATGCTTATGTTAATTTACATGCTGACCAGATATGAACCTGGAGACCTATTTCTGCCACATCAAACAAAATACTGCACCGATATCAGCAAACCGGGTCACTTTAGGTTCAAGTTCAGTCCGATTAAATAATTATGAGGAGAAGAAAGACTGTTTAATAATCTGCCTTATTTATGCCTGGAGTTTAAAAATAAAGATTTTCAAACACGAATCCTTCATTTTCCTTCTGCAGGCCCTGTGGTCAATACACTCCTACACCCAAGTGATGCAGATCCAAGGAGTATCACAACAACCAGAAGTTACCAATATAACAACATATTTAGATTATCAGAAGCATTTCCTACATTTAAATTGAGTCAGATTAATTTATTTAAACGCTGATTTCTTTGGGTTCTCCTCCCCGTTGAGCCTGCTGTACATGCAGAGGTAAAGCTTGGAAAGCTACTCCTACTCGTCACAGTTCATTGCTCAGATCTGTTTGTGCTCCGCAAATCCTCCGATAGAGAGAGAGGGGCATCCATCACGGAGTGCTCGGAGCACGGGGGCCCCACCATCCCTCCTACCATTTTAAACAAATGTCTTCTCAAAGTGCCATGTACTCAGAGAATGAAGCAGTTAATCTGTGACCCGCTCATAACCCGACTGCCTCGCCATCCCACACTCGGACTGCCAAACAGACTAAAGGAAGGAACTTTGGAACTCGTCATCGAGTCCTCCGAAACGCATTTAACCAAGCACTTGGATTTAAAAAAAAACACTCCGAGTGTCCGATTAAACGTCAACACAAAGCCTTCTGACTGCTATGAAGTAGGTTGGGTGTTAAGCAGAACGACAGTTATTCAAGTTCCGTAGATGAGAGCTAAATCTTCTTTATTGCGCGGACATCAGTAACCGTAGCTCATCCACACTTTGTAGAGATTGCATTTCACGTTTACTTTCTCAGGTCAAAGGTTAAGTACGGGGGGGGAACGTGTCTTCGAGTACCTGAATAAGGGACCAAAAAGCTGAAATGAATCCCAACACTTAGGCTGTAATACAAAACTTTCTGTTTCCTCGTCTACAAATTAGCTAGAGGAGCAGAAGAAAGTCATCTGAGTGGAAGCAGAAATGAGGTTTGAAGCACGTTTCTTTTCTTCAGAGGCTTTTATTTTGTCAGATGAAGTGATTTTTGGTGTCCACGATTTAAGCAAGGAGACTGCAAAAAGCTGTCCACATAAAACTGTCCTACTCATTAAGGCACTTCCTCATATAAGCAGAGGTGACAATTTTACAGTCCCAGCACTTCAACAATCACACACACTAACTGCTTTAATTACTTTTAGCCTGCATTGTTTGCTAAGCTGCAGTTATTTTTGCTTAAAGTTGTAAAACATTCAAACGACATTTCTGTGATTTCATCTAATTTGGTTGGAATTTATTGACAATTATTATTTAATCCTGAAAAAAAAAAAAATAAGAAAATGAACCAAATAAACCAATGATCTTAAACTTCTAATTTTGAGATATCTAAAACACTTTAATCTTTACAAGTTCTCTTTTCTAAACAAAATTAAGAAATAACAAGATCACGGGGGAAGGACCGTGAGCATAAAAACATTTTTGAATTGTGAAAAGAGAAACATTTTCTATATTTTATTTTATTATAAAGGAAGCAAGTCATGCAAACTAGTCAGAATGCATAATGAATTTTATACATCATATGTCAAATGAATTAGCATGTCTAACTCAGCGAGAGGGACGGGGGAGCCTCTGCTAATTGGCAGCGAAGCTTCATGCATAATTATGGGCCAAGCGTCTTTGCTGTCGCGCTGTGGCAGTAGCCGAATAACGAGGAGGAAAAGAGAGGGAGAGACGGAACGGAGGGAGAGACAGAAAGCATGAGATGGAGAGGGAGAGGAAAGAAAAACAAAGGCCATGGAAGCTGGCCGGGAAGGTGGGTGGTGTGTGAGTGTGTGTCTCATCAGGGCAGCGACAAACCCACGACTGTCCATCAACAGCCCCCCTACACACACACACACACACACACACACACACACACACACACACACACACACACACACACACACACACACACACACACACACACACACACACACACACACACACACACACACACACACACACACACCTTGCAGGAGCACTGCCTCACAAACAGAGAACACAGAGAGGCTTTGTGCTGCTTTTCCAATTTGCTGTTTGTTAAACTGTTTACTACATTCATTAAAAATGTATTTTTACTTTTTCTGAGCTACTATCAACGTGAACCAGCCTGTCCACAGAGATTTTTAATGGAGTGCTCATTCCCAGCAATGGCTAAGGTAATTACATCTATGAAAACATCGCCTCGACACAACGATGACTTGGTAATTAACAGATAATAGCCTTTTTTGGAGCACAATTATGCAAAGAAAGTAGGATCTTCTCAGGTTTGCTGTCCTCGTTTATGTGCGCTGTGATAGAAGACATCCACCTATGAAATATCAAAAACTGCTAAACTTTTGGATAATTATAGGCACTTCAGTAACATATTTGTGTGGGCAGATGAGAATATAAATTTGATTTTTTTTCTCTCTTTCTGGCATAGTGCAGCTCAGAGTGAGGTGTGAGAATAAATGAAAAGGTTGTCTCAAAAAAGCTGTGTTCATTCCCAAGATCTGAAAAATGAATCATTTATTTTCCTCTGTGATATTTAAACATAGATACACATTTAAAATAATAATAAAGCTGAGAGTGATCCCTGAGTGGGTTAAAATGACTGGACAGGTGAGGTCAATAACAAATAAATTTAAAATGTAGAGTTTAAACATGTCTTCTTTTACATCACCATGTGATTTTGACAAAAAAGGGAAAATGTGAAAAGGCGCATTGATGTATTGGGTTTTGCGACTTACCTCATTGCACTTTTTAAATCATTTCAATAAATTCTTACCAGAATTACGGGCTGTAAATGTGTGTTTAAGACTTAGTTAGACAAATCACTATAATCTGAATACAAAACACCGAAATTATTAATTTAATAAATGAAATGATTAGTGAACGACTGTGTGTGTGTGTGTGTGTGTGTGTGTGTGTGTGTGTGTGTGTGTGTGTGTGTGTGTGTGTGTGTGTGTGTGTGTGTGTGTGTGTGTTACCTGAGGAGACATATGCAGACCCGGCAGCCTTGGGTGAGTCGACAAAAACCAAACCTCTGTTTGCCGTCGATGTCCGTGAGAACAAAGGTGAAATTCTGGCCCACCTGATTCTGGGAAACCCTGACGATGACATGAGGTTCAATTACAGTACAAACGGAGCAAATATGGTTTTAGTTTAATCAAAGTGTTAAAAACAACTTATGAACAACAATCATTAATAAAAGCTAGGCTTACTTAAATATTTTCAATAAAAAAACATCTTCCAGACTTCATTCTCATAATTACAGAAATGTCCAGTTAAAGATCAACATGCATATAAAATAATTTAAGCTTAAGAGCATCAGAAACCAAACTGATTTTCATGTAAACTGCTCAGTACACAAAACCACCACTAGATGGCAGCAGCTCAGCTTCTGTGGAAGGCTCAACAGTCTCATCCACCATCTCTCCTCTGTACCAAGACAGAAATCTACCTGTCATTCTTCATGTGGAAGTAGAAAAAGGTGCTTTTCAGATCAAACGTAATAACGTGTGCGGAGACAGCCTTTCCTCTGACTTGAAGTTTCTCAGATGACCTCATCAGCATCATCAGTATTTGTTAATCATTATCCTCACCAATAACATATCATTATCACAGCTTTTATTTTGTTGCAGTTACAGTAAAAACAGATTAGCAAAAAAAGGAGGATAGGAGAGGCTACCTGAATCACCCATGTGGACATGACTACAGTAACAAACTATCTCATCAGGAAAGAGACTTCTTGATAAATGTAAGAAGCTCAAAACACTTTCCTACGACGAGTGTGTGTAGATGCATTCAAGAGGAGAGGAATCGTACCTTTTCACGTCAAAGGGGAAGCAGAACTTTGGTACTGTCTGAAGGACCTCCTGCAAAACCAGAAAAGAAAAGAGATTTTACACACTTTTCAGACATTCAGCATTTCAATGTGTAAGTTTCTTGGGCTCTCACCAGTGCGGACGGTAAGGCTATCAACTGGCTGAACAAAATGGGGATTAATGTTAAATGCTACCGATAGCAATCTGACATCCAAAACAGTGGTGCCTAAAAGCACTTAATCCAAATGAATGGTCAATGCAAACCACTTTATTTGGCAGAACTGAGAGGAAGCGTTCCCTTTTTTCCAAGAATGAGGGAGCGATCCTCTATCCACAGCTTGAATAATTAGCAGTTAATAAGTTCATCGATTATCAGGTGCCAAAGGGATGAAAGGGCCAGGGAAGAGAGGGAGAAACAAAAGAGGCCAAAGGTGGATGGGTGTGTGTGGTGGTGGTGATGATGGTGGAGGGGGGGGGTCTCACAACACCAGGGCTATGGTGGCAGATTGTAGCGACAATGGGCTAAGCAGCTCTGTGGGGTTAAGAGGTAGGAGGGGGGTACAAGCCTTCGGGGCTTTACCTCCCAACGCCTCCCTTGTGGGTCTGCATGCTCTTGAAGCGAGGTAGAGGAGCATTGAGGGGGGCTTTTCTCCACCAGCGGCATATGGATTTAGACAGGGAGCACGAAGAGTGTGGAGCACCATATGGGTGAGCCACTCCAGACCAGCCAAACAGCAACAGAACCCTGGGTTCCTGCTCTGTCTGTCGCTCCATCCCCTCACTGGCTGCTGACCTGTCCCAGAAGAGGTGCCAGGTCCAGTTTTACCGTCTGTCTTCCTGCTACCTCTGCTTCGGTTCTGGTCAGGCTCTGCCAAGCTCAAAGACTAATCCTGGGGACTGGGTGGCTCTTTGCTATGCTCTGGTCTCACAAGCCGTCTCTTCCTTCCTCTTTCGTTTACTTGCCAAGCTCGGCCACAGAGTTGAGGCTTGTGGGGATTTTTTTGATTGGACACATCCGAGCAATGAGTGATGCTGCTCTTCTTCTATCTCTCTGCCTCCCCCAGAGACTGATCTGGACGACAGGTTGGGTGTCTGCTGCTGCTGCTGTCTCTAAGACCTCACCACAGGGAGCAGTCACTGATCCCCTGCCCCTCCTCATCAAAACTTAAATCTGTCACCCATGCACCACACAAACATTTCTACAGACAAGCATCTAACAGCAACACTGAGCTGTGACAGAATGGGTGTGTGTGCTTCTAAATGGAAGATGTATGTGAGCCCCTGCTTGGTTAAGGACATGTTCGTTTAATTTGCGGGTGGCTAGGCCTGTACATTTGTGTGTTTGTGTGGGCGGTGGAGTTTGAGTGGGCTATATGTTTGTGTATATGCCTACATATGGAGCATGAGGGGAGGGGCTGGAGGCGAGATTCCTTATCAGGATTCGTGTTAAGATTGAGAACTCAACAAAGATGGAGGGTACTGTGGCAGAGGAGGTCTGTGTTGTGAGACAATGTGTGTGTTTGTGTATGTGTGTGTGTGTGTGTGTGTATGAGTCTTGGCGTGTGCGGCTGTACAACTGTCACACATATCAGAGCTGCCATCGTTGCATGCGTTTGCTACTATTATTAACCACTATGTACGCACACCAATATGTTCCAGAGAGCCCTCCCTGGCACGCTGCATATGGCACACAAACCCAAACACACACACGTGCACGCGTGTGCACGCACAAATACACAGGGATTCACTTTCCCGGCAAATAACAACATTCCAGTTGCCAGATTTCTGAGTCTTCACAGCCCTGCCCACATCAAGTATCTGAGTGACAGTCCAAGAGCTGCAGAGGCTCTGATCTCCTACAGGATCTGCAGCATGCGATGAGAATCTGTGTTTATAATGTGACAGAAACAATGGACAAATTCTATATATACACACATTGTAAGCGTCAGTTTAGGTAGCTCAGGTTTACAGACACCAGACACTTTCAAACTGCTGTCTTGATCCATTAAACAGACCAAACAGCTGTGGCTCCTGAGCACGTTTTTGAAGTCAGACGAGATCTATCGTCTTCTTTCTCGTCACGTTTATGAATTTACATTTTAAGGCTGCAATTTGTCTTTTATTTTCTATCTTTCAAAAGATTGTAATGCCCCACATCACAGTTTTAGTCTTCAGCTACTCCTTAATGCCCAAAGAGGCATTTTAAAAACAAATTTTTTCCTTTTCACTCAATTTTCAAAACCTTATTAAATTTAGGATTTTTAAATTACTCTGAGGCATTTTACAGGGAAAGGATATTAGAAATAAATCAGTAATGATGTATTTGATCAAATTCTGTCATATCAAATATATTATATATAAATCTGTTTGATACAAACACTACAAATGAATAATTGAGCTATACCGATTGTTAACACATCTAATAAAGGTGCAGTATGTAAGAATAGACAGTGATTCAATGTTATTGTATTACGATTTATAGTTTTTATTGTTGTGTTTTATCTTGTTATTGCGTTTTTCTTTTTGTTTCAATTGACCCTGCCTGTTAAGTGCTATCTTAAATTGTGCTATAGAAATAAAGTTGGTATGGTAATATAGTGAGAATTTTACAGTGAGAAAATCCAAAAAGAGTCTAATGTTTCAGTCATTTTGGAAGGAAGACTACACTGAAACATTTCGTATCCAGCTGGCTGTGGGGATTGTCAGTTTTTCTTCTTTCAAAACAAAGGAAGGAGGGACGTAGCTACTGTTTACCATCAGTGAGTGTCGGGGTGCCGTGTCTCCGCGAGCTAATACCGCAGCACTGACAACTGTAATTTGACGAAGGCCGGCAAAAAGCTCCAAAGTTGTTTAAAATGGATGCAGTATCTAAATTTTACCACACGATTTTTTTTACTTCATTTCTACATAATGTACCTTTAAATTCAAACTTGGATATTAGTAAACTCATTATTTTACATGAGGGACTTTTGCTATTATTCAAAAACAATGGTCTGAATGGATCTTCTCATCTAGAGTCCCTGTAGTCAGAGACATTTTCATTCCAAGTAGTTTAAAAAGCACATATAGATGTTCGCGTTCATCCAGTTATGACATTTTCCAGTAGACACCAGTGTGTGTGTGTGTGTGTGTGTGTCGGGGCTTTCTGCCACCCATGAATTGTCTCTTTATTCTAAGCCCAACAGTGTTTCAGTTCCAATATTTCTTTCTGCTTTAACTAAAGAAACAGATTGTGAGTAATATGTAATTTGAAACTCAAATCTTTTCCTCATCTGTCTCTCTGTTTTCTGTTTCCCCATATCTGACATCACACCTGTGTTACGGGTACCTCACAGGCATCTGCAGCTCTCTTCCCATCACTTGGCCCTATACCACTGGGATCTCTCAACACGACTGGCACAAAGAGGGTGTTCTTCCAGTTTCTTATAGTAAACACACACACACACACACACACACAGATGCATGCATGCATGCACGCAAGCACGCACACTCCCCTTGCTTGCCATTTTCCCAAGACAAAAGAGAAAGAAGCAGCTAATATATTTGCAGCTTTGCAAAAGGGGGGAGGAATCCGCTGCTAGGCTGAGCTTGGCAGACACTGATGTGTGAGTGTGTGTGTGCTGTTTATCGTGAGTGGAGACAGGGGTATCATTCAGTGAGACAGAATGCTCTGGGTTCCCCCAGTGGACACTCCTGCTATCACTGCATCACATCACTACAGCAGCGCCATGCCCCCGCAGAATAACACAGTACAGCACGGAGAAGCAACAAACTTTGGAGTGCAAGGCAACGCTCCTGCTTCTCTACTCTTAAAAATAGACTTAAACTCCACTTTTATTCCTGCTCTACCCTAATTCCTACATAGACATAATTGTGGTGGGACAGGCTATATATAGTGCAGCTTTACTGCAGGAAGTAACTGATGATAATGTGGACTAGGATTGACTGTCTAACAGCTGATTTATAGTCATCCATAAGGCCTGTGTGATACAAGCTACATCATAGTAACCCAGTAAGCTTCACCAGGCTCTATGTATGCATGTCAGGATTTCATACCGGTGGACTCAACACAACAACAAACAACCAACAATAATACTCCAATTCAAAAGATACAACAGAGTAAGGAATCTAGGATTTAAATCAGTGCTTTATCTACACTTATTAACTCTGAGTGTAAAAATGTACACACATGAAGCCAACGCTATAAAGGTGAATCAAAAAAGTACAAATATGTGTGCCAACATCTTAACATATGTGGACACAGACATACGGTTTGTCTTAACAGCTAGCTTTTGCAAGACTGCTACAGGACTGCTAAACCTTGAGATCTGTGAGACGCAAATTATTGAATTTTTATTATCTAAAGTTGGACACATTTTCATTGAAAGTCACTTCCTTCTTCTGGTTTTCAAACAATTGTTAATTGTGAAACCAGTGTTTTAAAGCCACCTATTAGTTCATCTCTGTTATTCAGTTGACCAAAAACCAGTAAGAACATGTCCATATTGGCCTAAACAGCAACTGTGAAACTAAAGCTGATTTTAGCTACTATGCTGCACTCAGATGGCCTCAGCTTCTTTATGACCTCAAAGGTAACGAGAGGGTGCTCGCTGCAGAACTACAAAGGTGGAGCTGCACCAGCCCCGCCCATTCACGTAAACTCAGCCTAGCCCACTGACTTCTTCTGTTTTTGTTTTTTAACTTTATCGCAAACTAACCTGACCCACATGAATTACGGCTGTTACTAGTTTACAATTGTTAATGCTATGTTCTATAATTCAATTAAACAAGATAAATATAACTTGCTACATGACAAAGCCTGAATATATCCCGAAACGAAAAGGTTTCTTTTAGCAAATATCTGCCCGCAGCCGCTCCACTAAAAGCGGGCTATATAGCATTTGAGGCTTATTGTTGTATGGTCTCTGGTAGTCCAGTGGCATGATCGTCTGACTTAAGTTTTGCTTTCCCCTCTGCTGATGTTGGTTCAACTCTCAGTGGGGTCGGCAGCAATCTATTTAGTCAGCTGAAACATTTAGTTTATATTTTAG